GGGGGGGATGCCATTTGGTGTTAAACACAGCGGAAGCACCCATTAGAATGTCTTGATTCAGATAGCCACTCAGTTCATTGAGTGATTCTCCTTTTGTGTACATTGGAACTTTTCCCTGATTAATAAAACTAGAAACAAGCAAAAGAGCATGGTCCATCGCTCTTAATTTTCTTCCCCTTCCATTTTAGTGTAAATAGCAGCTCTTAGATCCTCAACTCTCATACACTGCCCAAGAATGATAGTTACTGAATGAAAATGTGCTGTCTCAGTCTACTAACCAGTGTTTGCAAGTCCTCAGTCTCCTGTCATTAAGCAAAATTTAATTAAATTTTCATTTAAGCAAGTGAAAGCAACATTATGGGGAAATGGTACTGGCCAGAAATCCTGCCACCCTGTTCTGAATCTTCAATTCTGCTTGTATAATTTTTTTTTTCTTGTCCAGCTTTCCCAGCCAGGTATAAGCATTGAAGGTCAGGTATCCAACCCTCCCTCTACTAGTAGCACCGAAGTGAATTCTCAGACCATTCCTGAGAAACAACCTTCCCAAGAAGTGAAAATGGAGGCTAAAATGGAAGTGGAACAACCAGAACCTGCAGATGCTCAGCCTGAGGATATTCCAGAGGTGAGAGTAATACAATTACGACTTTCATTTAACCAGAACCTCGCTCTGTTGTGCTGTTACTTACAGTACGGAAGATTCTGACTCAGCATGACCCCTGGTGTTACAGAGTAGAATTGTTCTACAGGGTTTCCTTGTTTATAGTTCAATGGGAGCAAATTATCAAACAAGCTTCAGCTTTTTCGTCCATGATGTAGTGGCTAGGTTTGAATTGCCAACCTAGCAGTCAAAGACAAACACAAGCCATTTAATACCACCCAGGAACCTCCGGACCTCAGTATAGAAGCCCAGTTTAATTTTTTTTTTTTAAGCATGTTGCTGCAAAGTATTCTGGTAATTAGATCTCCTTTCATTGGTTTCTGTGAGAAAGGACATTGCTGCTGAAAGTAATTAACATCCTGGTTAAGTATCACTAATTGCAGTTGGGTCATGGCAATTCTGAGAAGTTCTACCTTTCCATTTAGACAAAATCGGAAGATTGTAAAGTGGAATCTACAGAAACCGAAGAGAGAAGCACTGAAATAAAAGCTGAAGCAAAAGAGGAGGAGGACCAGCCAAGTACCTCAGCCACCCAGTCATCTCCAGCCCCAGGACAGTCTAAGAAAAAGAGTAAGTCTCAGGCTCTCTTACTAGAACTGGGGAAAACCAAGGACAAGGGCAAGAAAGGGCTTCCTGGGCCTCAAAAACAAACTATGAGACTCACTTAACCTGGCGCCTTGGGCCTGGTCTATTTTATAAAAAGCCTTTGCCAACTCTAGTGTGATTCTCCACCTTGAGGTTAAAAAAAACACTAATTTCAAATACCACCCTTCTGAGGATAGAATTAACTTCTGAATAGAAGAAATAATAAGGCCTTTGCTCAGAATAATTTCATTTGGGACATACCAGCAAGTCTTTCCTGTGCTTAGAACACATTTGAGCTTGATTTAATCAACTTAAGCCTATTGTCCTAGCAGTTACACTTTAGATCTGTCATTAAAGTTGCTAAATGTCTCTTTCCTAGGCGCTTTAAAACATCAGACATCTTAATGAGGGCCTGTTTTTCATTTCAGTACTTCTGATTCCTTTAGCTTTGTGACGAGCAGATCTAATTTCTCACTTGTCATACACTGTTGCACAGTGAACACTACTGTCTGTTGTTGGACAGCACTACCACCAGCAGGCAGCGTTTCTCCCCTACCTGGGCTAAGAAATGATCCCTGTGGACAATGGACTCTTTATGTGTGTTTTATGATTCTTGAGATGCTCTTTAGAGGTTTAACTTACATGATTTTTCTCCCTTTTGTTTAATTGAAACTAATTTCAAATGTGCGTCTCTTAAAGTTTTCAAACCTGAAGAGTTACGGCAGGCATTGATGCCAACATTGGAGGCACTTTACCGGCAGGATCCAGAATCCCTTCCCTTTCGTCAGCCTGTGGATCCTCAACTTCTAGGAATCCCTGTAAGTATGTGGAGAGACCGGGTTGGGGAAGGGGGATGTAACATTATTGAGACATACAGGTAATTCGCAAACCGTAAAATTCATCAATTTAAAGTTCAATAAAATTGCTCGATCACCACCACAGGCAGTTTTAGGATATTTTCATTACCCAAAAAGGTGCTGTGCACATTAGCATTTACTCCCATTTTCTGCCAGATCCCCGCAGTCCCAGGCTACCCTTAATCATCTCACTGGATTTACCTATTCTGTCTGTCTCAGTCGACTTTACCTATTCTGGAATCATATAGTAAATGACTTGCCACTTTGTTTATTTTCCTCTGTGTGGTAGCATGAATCAATATTTTGTTCTTTTTTTTTTTTTTTGGCCAAATAGTACTTCATTTATGGCTATATCATTTTGTTGGGCATATCATAGGATTGGAATTGCTGCTGGCCTGGTCTAAGGGTCGTTAACTTAATTTTTGTTTGTGAAACTAATCTCCATACAGTGCAGTGACACGTCTGGAACTACCTTGTTGACTGCAGGGAAAGTCCATGGTGGCTTTATTATGGGCACTGTTGCTCTGCTCACTGAGCAGCTTCAGTTATTTGCTTATCAACGACTCAAAGAAACGACACACATTAGCCAACCTGGAAATACAGCCAGACCCAAGAGGCAAGCAACACTACCTGAAACATTAGGAAGATGCTCCATCTGCCCTAACCTCCTCCACAGGCTGAATATTGCATATAAATAGGATCATACAATGATAGAAGGACCTTTTGTGTCTGGCTCTTTTTCACATACTTTATTTTATTTTCAGTGTTTATTCATGTTATGTTGTGAGTCAGTATATTGTTCATGGGTAATGTTTGGTGTCACTTGTTCTAGGATTATTTTGATATTGTTAAGAGTCCCATGGATCTGTCTACCATCAAGAGAAAGTTAGACACTGGACAGTATCAAGAACCTTGGCAATATGTGGATGACATTTGGCTTATGTTCAATAATGCTTGGTTGTATAATCGGAAGACATCGCGGGTGTACAAATACTGCTCCAAGCTGTCTGAGGTCTTTGAACAAGAAATTGACCCAGTTATGCAAAACCTTGGGTATTGTTGTGGCAGAAAGGTAAGAAATTACTTTCAGATCTGCTTTTGGCTTCCCTGAGGCACCTAGGCAAACAGTGGTTGGGCTAAGAGAGTACGTTACTTCTAGGTTGGACTGCATTTTTCTCACAGTTGTTGGCACTGTTATGCTGCTCTTGCCATAGCAATAATGGTTTACATTCCTGTACTTTACAGACATATGCTGCACCGATAGTAATTTTAGTGGAAACTTGACCAGTTCAAATCCTGATGCATTATACTGTGAGCTCATCTAAAGTAGAGACATAATCATATACCCCTGTATGTGCACCATTGCCTGGATTTCACTAGCTTGTGTGTGTACATAAATTCCCATAGCACTCCACATGTCCTAATGAGTTCTGTGGTGTGTTAAGGAGGGATATGCCTGAGCACACTGAAAATTTGTTAAAATGGCAGTTTTCCTATAACACATATTTTAACACTAGGGCTTTGTGTGGATTTAGTTCTGTGAACCACCCTGAACCCTAAAAGTGCCTTATTCTGATTAGGGTGTGAAGACTATGCATTGCTGGCTTTGATTGCTGATTTGACGGTGTTACTGTTGCCATCCTTTAGGCCTCTGTACTATTGAACATATGATTTCTTTTGCAGTTGGAATTCTCTCCACAGACACTGTGTTGCTATGGCAAACAGTTATGTACAATCCCTCGAGATGCCACTTACTACAGTTACCAGAACAGGTAAGGGTGGCCCTGTGTGGAGCATGTGTGCACAGGTGTCTCATGTCTAGCTACGTAGAGCCAACATACATGGGGACATAGTCCGTGAGAAAGTAGCTTGAGAACAACTGTACAACACAAGTTTGGGCTTTCTGCTTTTGGGGAATTAAATTTTTTTCTAATGGACAGGAGTCTTGCCTCAGGTATCTGGACTGAGGGGAACACAAGGCCTTGTGAGTTGATGACAGAAGTGGGACTGTGTCCCAGGCCCCCAACTTGTCTTTCTAATGGACTGTTATAGCTCACCATAGTATCAGACAAAGCTGAGACGATTTTAAGCTGATTTGTCTTTCTGCATGTCTATGAAATAGCTGGTGGCTTTCTCCTTGTGCAAAAACTACCCAGAAAACTTCGAAATCTAACTCATATTAGCCCGCTCTATTTGGGGGAAAATATTCCTTTTCTGTGCAACCTAACTCTTAGGTGGTTTTTATGGGGACCTGTGTGTGAAAACAGGACTGGGGCGAATTTGCTTTTACCCTCCAGTACAAGTTAAAATGAGAATACTTCTGCTTCATTTTGCCCCTACAAAGTGGGACTTGACAGAGGATGGCGAGGCAGTAGGAAATGAGGCATTTTTGCCTTCATTTCCTGCCCAGTCAGTGGTGTTGTCACAGGTGTTAACAGTCGAATAGGTTGTGGTAGGCCTGTTTGCTGCCACCTCTCGGTAATGAGCCTCCAATCGGCTTGCGCTGTCATCATTACTAGGGCTCTGATACAGTCTCACAAGGCCAGCCAATTCCTTTCTCAAATGATTCCAAGTCCTCGGTGTTGGCTCTTGCCGAACTTGTGTGCTACAGATGGATTTTCTGGCTTCCCCCCGGCCCCCTTTAAGTCACTTAAGCTTTTTGGCCCCCCCCCCCCTTTTTTTTTTTTAACAAAATAAGTTGTCCCCTTAGTGTTTCGTAGTAATTAGACTTCATAGTTTTGTACTCAATGAAATCTAGGCAAGGTCAGACTCAAGTTGTTAGGAACACCTGATGTTCAAGAAGCTTAGCAGCTGGCAGATTTTTCTCACATTATGATCTTGGCATGTGTGTACTTCTGGGCTTCATACAACCATTTGATCAGTTTAAGTATTCTTAGTACTCTAGTGCCTTTCCTCTATGGGCCCACACATGCCACACTGGATACCACGCTGCCCTGCTCTGGCCAGGTAACCTCCAGCCCCAGGCAGCACTGTGCAATGGCTTCTCAGGAAAGACACGTTTTGGCTGAGGGTGGCTTCCTTGGCATCAGCTGGTAGTTTCCAGTCCCCTCTGTGTTTAGGTGATCATTCTTGCTGCTGCTACCAGAATGGGTTTTTTTCTTTACATTGTTTAAGGTGGGGAATTCTGGTTAGGCGATAGTCAGATTAGCACGTCTCCTGCCCAGCCCCCACTTTGATGATGTATTAGTGACCGAACTGAAAGGGTATGGGTCTGTGTCAGTGGAACTTTTTGTTTGATTTGCTGTAATCATTTGCTATTTGTGATCCCATTTGAGATATTTAATGCTAATCTGTGCTTTGCCTTGGCTTTCTGCTATTTGTTGTCCTGTCTTGCTTTTATGTTTTTTGTTGTCCGGCAATCCCTCATTTCTTCGTTTGTTTTGTGTTTTTTTTTCTCCCTCATGCTTGTCGTTGTCTGCACTTGGCTTTGATTGCAAACCAAAAACAAAACAAAAAAATCAAAAAACCAAAACTCAAACTGTGGGGCCCATAAATCTGCATCATTGAATGTCCTTGTCGCCGTTGATGACCTGCTCTCTGCTCCCGTCCCCCTCCTTGGCCTGCTGTGATTGGTGGCTTCGTTGCTTGGCTTTGGCTGTGTTGTGTGAACGGAACAGTTCACCCCAGTATGGCCTTCTTGCCGACAGGTATCATTTCTGTGAGAAGTGTTTCAATGAAATCCAAGGGGAGAGCGTTTCTTTGGGGGATGACCCTTCCCAGCCTCAAACGTAAGTAATCACATTGTTAAGAAAAGTGCTGAATTATTCCTCAGTAAGATAGCAGGTGACTGTGCGCAGGTTGCTGGCGGGGAAGCTGTCTTGATGTGAAGCCATATTGCCAGTATGTCAGCCATTGGCCACATAGGACCATTTATGCATTAAAATTAAATAAAATTGCGTCAGCCACACTTCAATTGTGGCTAGTGGCTGCCATCTGGAGCAAGGCAAGAGAACATTGCCGTCCTCGTGGAAAGTTCTGTTCAGCCTAACTTAGCAGGTCCATCTTTTATAAAGAACTCATCAGCTTTTAAAAAGGGCTCTTCATCATTAACTTAAATCTAAGGGATGTTATGCAGTCCAGTCTTTTTACACACTGCCACCAGTCAGTTCTCTCCTGGTTCCCCTGTAGGTAAGGTAGAACTAACTGCCCTGTGAGTGTCCAAGACTAAATCTTTCCTGGAGTAGAAAGCCTCCCTCCTCTTTCCCCCAGGAGTGACTGGTCATTTCTCACCGCTAACTTCAAAGTTAGCAGCCCACTGAGTAATCATTAAGCTACCTGGGCTCCTAATCTTCTTACAGGTTAACGAAATTCTTAAAACACAAATAGTGAACTGAATTTAATAGCCTATAAGAGTGTAAAAGTTTATTAGTGACTTATTTGGGCTTTCAGCATCACACAAGATCTTACTCCTCTAAATCTGCCAAAGAACATTTTTAAGCACAGCCTAAACTACCCAATACTCATGACTAAAATTTAGTTAGCTACTAAGAGACTATATTTCAAACTCGGAATGTGTTGTCAAGACTGCAGTGTAGTTTTAATATTTTTAGGCTCTTATTTTCTGGTTTGTGCTATAGCTAAACATTACACGAGAATAAAAGTGGAATGATGAAATTGTTGTAAACATGATAGTCGTTAAAAAGCAGCTTACAGGGGGAACGTGGTTAAATTCTAAATTGAATTCTGAAGTTATAGTTTGCTTTTTGCTCATTATTGCAGTAAAACATAGTGGTTCTGAGCAGACAGTTGACTTTGGGCTTGGCCAGAGAAGTCCACTTAAATGTAGGTTTCCTGATGGAGGAAGAATGGCCAACCCTGCCTTTGAACCTGTATAATGGCCTGTAAGAGGTTCTAAATCTCTGCTATGCATTGAAAGGCCAGGCCCTCTTTAATGAACAGCATGTTTGTAGTGGGCCTGAGGGTCTGCATTTCTCAGAAGCCCTGGATTTTTCTGATACCGCTGGTGGTTTTATGACCATTCCACCCTTGGCCAGTCAGAAAATGCCATTACCAGAGATTATTCTTGATTTTAATGCCTGTATGGAAAAATTGTAGGTGTTTGCATGCCCTCTCCTCTTGTAAGGAGGAATCTCAGAAACCAAAAGTCAGTCACTGTAAAGGAAGTTGCTTCTAGACATAGCCTGAGAAAATTGTCCACCCCTGAATGTAGTGAGGCTCTAACAGTGGGCTGTGTTGAGAACTTAGAGTGGGAAGCCACATGCTGCTTTTTTAAAACCTCCGCATACTATGAAATTCAGTGTATTTACCTTTTTTGGAGTAATTATTAGCACAAAATATGTATCAACATTGAAATACTTTATTGATGTAAAAAGTTGACTCTAGAAAAGGGGTATTTAAATCGTGATTTGCTTCCCACTATAAATACCATCTTTTGAGCTCAGTTTAAGAACATTAAATTAAAAGGAATAAAGAATGGGATGTTGTAGTTCTTCCTGTCTTTATTTTCTATAAGAGAAAAAACAGGTTTCTTACCAAAAACATGCCTTTACATAAAAGTTGATTTTGTGTTAGCCAAGAATCCATTAATCTCATGTCAATTCTTAAGAGAATTCAAAGAATCCCTTGAAAGTCTTAGACTTCCTCCCTTGGAGTAGCAGTCAGATTGTTTATCTTTCTGTATCACTTTTTCTCATTATGTCCCCTCTTCTTTCCTTAGTACAATAAATAAAGAACAGTTTTCCAAGAGAAAAAACGACACACTGGATCCTGAATTGTAAGTAGTCGTCTGTGTGATCTCTCTCCTCCTCCCTCTTAGTTTGTGTGGTCACTCAGTTTATCCTGTCTCACAGATTTAACGGTTATCCTGGATAAACTATTATGACCTGAGCACAGCTGTTAGTTTTTGGGTGGTGGAAGACATCATTGAAGTGTAGCATGTCACTAAAGTGTGTACTGTTTTGGTGTTTTTCAAGTCCAAATGCAGCACCTAAACAACCTTAGCTCTGTTACATGTTTCACCCATGTCATCCGTTCTCTGCATTTCTGGATCAGGGGTGGATAGGGGTGCTCATCAGAGCTCTGGAAACGTACGATAATCTAAAGATTAGGCTGGGTGGGTAGTGTCGTAATTGTTCACTGGTCCTAGAATTGGCTTTGAAATTTACTCGTCTGTAATGCCAAAACAGAGACCTATGTCCATTCCTTGGCTCTCTTTTGAACTGTCAGAAGTCAAGGGAAATACTGGAGGTTTTGCCCTGGTTGAAAAGTCTGATAATTACTCTGGGATGGGCTTGCATTCCAGGTTTGTCGAGTGCGCTGAGTGTGGAAGGAAGATGCACCAGATCTGTGTTCTCCATCATGAGGTCATCTGGCCAGCTGGGTGAGGCTCGCAGCAGCATTCTGTCCTGTGGCTGAAGACTCTTCTCTTCTGTGCAGTGACTACCATAACTTCAGTCGTTCCTTTTTCCCTGAAGATTAGGAAAAGATAATTAAAAATCTGGTTTTAAATAAATCAAAAGTAAAATACTTGTATGTAGTTTCTAGTACCAGGAACTAATAAAGCAAGTGTTCACTGCAATTAGATATGCCCGATTTTGAAGGCCATTTGGACTACAGCAGAAAAGTTAAGCAGAAAAGTTAAAAGAAAGAGAAATGGAGAGAAATAGCTTATCATCAATAGTATATTAATTGATGGCCTTAATAAAGCTCTGGTTTTCACAACTATTCAAGGGAAATAATAGCAAAGTTATAATTGCCCATAGGTACGGGTAGAGTTGCATGGAAATGAATAAAGACTTAATAAAGTTGGTATTCTTGGCCTCTTAAGTTTTGCTTCCGAATATCCATCATAGGCTGCACATATGGCCGTTTGGGGAGCACCGAGGGGAGGGATGTATGCCGGCTGTGAGTCCATCTACCGCACTAGGGTTGGGTTCTCCTCCAGGAATAGGCTGATCCTAGCTCTGCTCTGAAGGAAGGTGAGCTGGTTATCACCTTAGAATAGGACTCCATGCTGCCCCCTGCTGTTTCAGTGTGGGTGCTGGTTTGGAGATCACAGGGAAGAGGAGAGAATTTTAAAAAGAGAGAAATTCCTCCAAAAAGTAGCACTGAGGAAATTGTAGTAGGTGTCATTAAGTAGCTGCTTTTTTGTTTTCACTGTAACTTGTCTTTAAGTGTACCTTGCTGCTACATTCCTTGTTTACAGAGTGGATGGAACTGTTTAAGAGATGTGTAGCTATTCTTGCTGAACTTTTTTTTCATTGTTTCTCTTCCTTTTTCTTTATCCACTTGCATCTGTTTGTCCTAAAGTGATTCCATTTGCAACCCTTTTATTCTGTGTGATCTAGTTCTAGTCCTGTCTTCTTCCCTTTTTGTATCTCATGATTGTCATTGATTAGTCTTTCTTACTGATTTTAAAAAAGCTCCTTATTTTTGTTGTATCGACTTTTTAGTATATAGCTAGAAATATTTATCCTGGGCTGTCTCTTTTAATGTCATTCATAAGATTGTTTTTTTGTTGTAGGTCTTACTTTAAATGCTTTTTTTTTTGTTAAGCAAAATCTTGGTTTTGTTTTAGTTTTGTTTTGCTTTTTATTTAATCATTTTATTGGGGACTCGTATCACAATCCATATCATACATCCATTGTGTCAAAACACATTTGTATGTTTGTTGGCATCATTTCAAAACATTTTCTTTCTACTTGAACCCTTGGTATCAGCTCATTTTTTCCCTCCCCTGCCTTTTCTCCCTCATGAACCCTTGATAATTCATAAATTATTTTTTGTTTTAGTTTTATCTGTGATGGCTGTTTAAAGAAAATTGGACGAACTAGAAAAGAAAATAAGTTTTCTGCTAAAAGTAAGTTGTATTCTCCCGTGATAAATCTCAGCAATACTTAGCCAAGTTGAGAAGATACTTTGTTTCAGCTTAATTTTAAAACTATTTAATTAGCCAGAGCAATTTATTTCAAATTGAACTGTAGTGTATTTTTTGCTGTTGAATAAATTCATTAGACCTCTAAAAGAGACAGATTTTGGAGAAAAAGCTTCTTATTTGGGGTACTCCCTACTATAAGCCGCAAGTGCCATCCCATGACGGGTCATCAGTGCTATGCATACTTTAGCCTTCTGGGATCTTCTTGGGGGCGCTGAGGGTAATTATGGAAGCTGATGTTAGTAAATACTCATCAAACATAGGCATTTGCTTTTCTATTTCAACTATAAGAAAATGTTTAAAGTATTAATTCTAATACTTTTAGAACATATACAGAGGAGCTTCAAAAAGTTTGCGAGAGAAAATGGAATTAAAAGATTATGAAATATACTCAACAACTTTTTGAAGGGCCTTCATATACTAAAACTGGGTTAATACCAAGAACATTAATATGATCCCTCTCCAAACATGAAACAGATTTGTCATGTGTTGTGTGATTCTTTTGTTTTTGAAAATATTACCCTTTACTGCCTTGCTGACTTTTAAAAATCATTTGATTGGGGCTCATACAATTCATCACAATACATAGATCAATTGTATAAAGCACACCTATACATTTGTTGCCCTCAACATTCCCAAAATTCGCTTTCCTCTTGGGTTCCCGGAATCAGCTCGTTTTCCTTTTTACCCCTCTTAATCCCTCCCCCCTCCCCCATGAACCCTTAATAATTTATAAATTATTGTTATATCTTACACTGCCCGGCATCTCCCTTCACCCACCCCTCTGCTGCCCATCCCCCAGAGAGGAGGTTATATGTAGATCCCTGTGATCAATTCCCCCTTTCTACCCACCCCTTCCCTCCTGGTATCGCCACTGTCACCCCTGGTCCTGCGGGGTTCATCTGTCCTAGATTCCCTGCGTTTCCAGTTCCTATCTGTACCACTATGCATCCTCTGGTCTAACCAGGTTTGCAAGGCAGAATTAGGGTCATGGTAGTTGGGAGGAGGAAGCTTTTAAGAACTAGAGGAAGTTTGTGGGTTTTATTATTGCTATACTGAACCCTAAGTGACTCATTTCCTCCCCACTACCCCTCTGCAAGGTGTGTCCAGTTGTCTATAGGTGGGTATTGGATCCCCATCACTTGGATCCCCATCACGCACCACCCTCATTGACGATGATACGATTTTTGAGCTGACTCCACCACACTGAGGCAAAACACTGGGGGCTTGCTGACTTTTTAAAACTCTAGGAAATTATCCTGGTTTTTATCGGCAAAGGAGAAAGGACATTTGAGATTGAACTTGGAAGATTGGTAATTATAAATTTGTACCTTAGTAACTGTTAAACTTGTATGTTGCTAGGGTTGCCATCTACCAGACTTGGTACTTTTCTGGAGAATCGTGTGAATGACTTTTTGAGGCGACAAAATCACCCTGAGTCAGGAGAAGTTACAGTTCGGGTAGTTCATGCTTCTGACAAAACTGTGGAAGTCAAACCCGGCATGAAAGCAAGGTTGGTCATTTCTGCATTCCCTTCTCATTCAGGCGGGCTGTGGATGAATCCCCTCTGCGGGAGAGATATAGTGTGGTTTTCCCCTCCTTTCTGTATCATGCAGGTTTGTAGATAGTGGTGAGATGGCAGAGTCCTTCCCATATCGAACCAAAGCCCTCTTTGCCTTTGAAGAAATTGACGGCGTTGATCTGTGCTTCTTTGGCATGCATGTTCAAGAGTATGGCTCTGACTGCCCTCCGCCCAATCAGAGGTATGACTGACTGAGAGCCCTGGCTGCCTTTGAATTGGGTTGGATTTTCAAGTTGTGATAGTGGGGAAAAGCTTAATGGGAAAATAAATGTTAATGTGCATGGTTTGGAAACCTCAAGTGCCCACATGGTAAACAGAATTACCCATAATGTTGACACGTCTGAACAGAAACGGGAAGGCAACAGCAGCACTTTTTTGCTCTTCTGTAGTAACGGTTATTACTGCTATGAATATGGGATATGCACAGCAGCCTGAAGTTGGGATGGGAAGCTCCTATACCAGGGACTGCTCGCTACCACAAATCCAACAAAGAAATCATCTCACAGGCTTCCCGAAAGTGGTCATTGGCTATCCACTGACCTAACTGGCCATAGTGTACGTGGAGCATTATTATTAACTGAAATAAGCAGAGCGCCCCAGAGGAAGGGAATGGTTTTTTAGCCCCATGAACAAAAACTCGCTATCTGACTTGGGTTTTCTCCCTCGATACAGGAGAGTATACATCTCTTACCTGGACAGTGTCCATTTCTTCCGCCCTAAATGCTTGAGGACTGCTGTCTATCATGAAATTCTAATTGGATATTTAGAGTATGTCAAGAAATTGGGGTAAGTATATTGATAATGAATGCTCTTCATTAAAATCCCTTAGTGTGAGACCTGGGGTTTTTCTCACCTTGGTTTTCATCTCACAGAACTGTAACCTCAGCTGTGTGGAAGCCCTTTTGTGGGTAGTGTTCCCAGGATGAAAGAAAAGGACACTTGGGCCATAATTGGACTCAGCCCAACCCCTAAAAGGCCTTTATGTTCTTGGTATTAGATGAATTTTAACTTGTTCTACTGAGCAATTAGTGACAGTTTGATTTGAGATCCGGGATCTTAAGCTGCATGTGTTAACACCTGGATGTCAATTAAGAAAATTAGACTTTTCTTACCTTTCAGGTATACATCTAGTCTAGAGTATCTGCCACCTCACCTTCCTCTTAGAATTTACTTTTTTTTTTTTAAGTCTCCCATTGAAATTAGAGCCCTTGTGGTGCTTTGGCGTCAGTATTTGGTTGCTAACCACAAGGTCACTGATTCAGACTCACCTGCCACTCCACAGGAGAAAGATGAGGCTGTCCCCGTAAAGATTAATAACAAAGCCTCAGAAAACCTATATATGGTTTCTGTGAGACAATATCAACTCAGTGGTAACAGGTTTGGGATTGAAGATGGGTCTGTTACTTCTTTGCCGTGTAATCCTACATTTGGTCTAAAAATGCAAATTTGGAGTTTTTCAATTCCGTTGAATCATCACCTCTATGACTAAAATTCACAGGGTTGCTCCATATCCTCTGAAAAAGTACCCAGTGGGAACACTGGTATTCGTGCTCTGGGTTATGCCCACCTCTGACCTTTTAGTCTGAAGCTGAGTTGTACACTTTTTCAGGTGTTGGCTCCACCTTGTGGTTTAAAGTGCAGCATTAGTTCCAATATGGATGGTCCATTTCCTTGAGTGTTCATTTTCTTTGTGTTGATAGCTACACAACAGGACATATTTGGGCATGTCCCCCAAGTGAGGGAGACGACTACATCTTCCATTGTCACCCACCTGACCAGAAGATCCCCAAACCCAAGCGACTGCAGGAGTGGTATAAAAAGATGCTTGACAAGGCTGTGTCGGAGCGGATTGTCCACGACTACAAGGTCAGTTGGAGCACAGCTGAAATGAGAAAATAGTTACATTTGCCGACCGTGTGGCTTTGCTTTCTATCTCTCATTTAAATGCTGTAACAAAAACCTTAGATTTATTCTACTCTCTATGCGAGTATCATTTGTTAAAGTTATGCCAGTGTGTTGGTACTTTTGTTTCCCTTGATTTTTTTTTTAAATCATTTTCCCTTGATTTTTAAGTTGTGACAAAATTATTAATGATTATTAGCCATTGAGTATATTAGTAATTGCTTTTTTTGGTTTGGGTATGTTTGAATTTTAAAAGAATTATAGGTCAATAAATAAGGCTGTCTCATGATCTCGTTTTTACACGTGACAAGGAAAAATCCACTCGATAGTTTCCCAAGCAACCATGCAAGTCATTTGTCTCTATAATAGTGTCCAGTACCTGTCAGTGGAGTTGGTGGTGTGAACGTCATTTTCAGTGAAAGACTGATAGTCCAGGAGGGGTACCGCTCTAAATGCTAGTGAGGGTGTCCTCTCTAGCAGGCCAAGTTGGAGCCTGGTTCTGCAGAGCAAGAGAACCTCCCTGCCCTGGTGACTGGAGAAAGGGGGCACTGGAGATCCAAGACTGTTCACTGTTAATGTTATGACTCCTACATGGGCCCATGCTGTGGGGAAGATGAAAACAAACCCTCATCTCTATGTGTGGCTATTTTTACAGGACATTTTCAAACAAGCTACTGAAGATCGGTTAACCAGTGCAAAGGAATTGCCTTACTTTGAGGGGGACTTTTGGCCCAATGTGCTGGAAGAGAGCATCAAAGAGCTGGAACAGGAGGAAGAAGAGAGAAAGCGAGAGGAGAACACCAGCAATGAAAGCACAGATGTAAGGGGTGGCTTTGTCCCTCGCACCTAGAGTGGGCTTGATGACACTTTTCATGGTGAAAGCCGCTTCCATCCCCTAAGATAAAAACTATAGCCATATCTGTTTCGGTGATTTTCAACCTTTTTAACATCAGACCCACTGATAAAAGTTCATTTGTAGGACAGAAACCTTGAAAAACAGATGGAAAATGACTGCTGTAGAGCAGGAGTTTGCCACCTTTAGTTTCTATAGAGGACCAGGTTAAAAATATTTCTCACTGGCGTGGTTTTTGTTGTTGTTAGAAGGGGTGGTGGGGAGGGGCTTAACAAGCCTTTATAAACATGAAGCCCATTCCCATTTAAAACCGGGCCGGGCCATAGTTTGCCAGCTCCAATCTGGGAGTGGCTTATTGAGGAGTACGCTTGCTCAGTTATTGCCCTGGTGTCTCTGTAGTTGACCCATGAAGAGCTGGCTGGCTAGTGATGTGCACATTGAAACTGTCCTTTAAATACTTTCATAAAATAACTCTTAGCTTTTTAATGTAGCATTCAGTAATTGGGTGTTTTTCCAAGTTTATTAAATAGTTGGGGCATAACATTCAAGAATGTGGGGTCAAGTCTTCTGTCACCCCAATTCCATGCCCCTTTAAATGCCCCTCACTCATTGTTCCCTGAAAACAATGCTGGGGCCATGCCCACCAAAACCCTACAGCCACTATCAGCAACCCTGCTTATGAGAGCAGTCTAGTCTTTCTCCTGCAGAGTAGCTAATAGATTGAGGTGGCAACCTTGTTAGCATCTTAATGCCTAACCCACAGTATCACCAAAGCTCCTTGTGTTCACAGGGATCTACAAACTGAAGGCTGTTCTAGTCGAGGAAAGCACCGGGGAAGGAGGAGTTGGGGAGATTCAGACAAACATTCTTTTTAAACTAGTACTAAAAATAGGAAGAGAGAGGGTCCGTGAAGAGCAAGTCATGAAAGACCTGAGAGGGTGGGTCCTCCATCTTTCAGTCTAGTTTCCAGGGCACTTTCTGAGCGAAAGTGTTAACACCTTTTTGTCCTTGTGCTACCCTGCAGGTGACCAAGGGAGATAGCAAAAATGCCAAAAAGAAGAATAACAAGAAAACGAGCAAAAACAAGAGTAGCCTGAGTAGGGGAAACAAGAAGAAGCCCGGCATGCCCAGCGTGTCCAACGACCTCTCGCAGAAGCTCTATGCCACCATGGAGAAGCACAAAGAGGTGAGAGTGACCTAGGGTGGGGCGCAAGGGCCAAGGTGATTTCCTAACACTTTCTGCCCAGCAGTCTGAAATTCAGACAGAAGGACTTGTTGATGGGTAAGAAAAGGGGTGGGGCTTAGGGTTTGGTGGTGATGACAGGAAATGTAAGGTTTGTAGCTGTTTCAAATATACTTATTGACAATAGTGGCAATTTCAGCCTTATTTAATACCCCAATTGGGAAAGGCCTTGAATTTGATTGCTGTGGGTTGGCCTCTACACTGTGACTCTGTCCTCTGGCTTGGTTTAGTCTGAAGCAGATGTTAGTAATGGTCACCCAGTAAGAGTTAAGAATCTACTATTGTGAATCTGGTCGTAAGTTCAGATCCTATTTCGTTAGACATTGGCCGAAGGAAGAGTAGAATCAGTCAACTGTGAGGGTGTCATGGGAGGAAGTGGACTAGCTAGGAAGTCGTCTTCCCTGCTGTGCTCACTTGGAGACCTGGGGAACAGCTGGGGAAGTGCCTTCTCTTCTCACTCAGTGCTTTCTCAGACCCACCAGTGCACACCAGGTCTGGTAAGATCAGGCTTTGCTTTGGAGCATCAGTTTATGTGTGCTCGGTGTGTGCTTTCTCGCCGTCTGTTCTTTTTCTAGAAATGTATCTCATCTCAAAAGACCCTCGCGTTTTAGCCGAGCGTTGCAAACATCGCAAGTGTTGCTACCAGTGTACGTACTTGTTGTCCACAGTCTCTGTCGAGACTACATTTAATTCACAAAGCCCTTGTTTCTCGAGGTGCTATTTTACCTTTTATTTGTCTAGTAAGAGTTGATTTAGATATATTCAAATCAATTTCAAATATATGTAGCACACCAGCTTTCTGTTACAGTTTTTATACAAAAGATAATGGAAATTAATCGTTAATGAGTTTTCAGACTAAAAAGAACAGAAGTTTTGTTGAAAACTTGCACATAGAACAGCCCAAATGCCCTTTGTGTCGTCACCAGTTAACATTTTTCTGGGTTTTTTTCCCTTGTAATCTCAGCAAGTGCTACATAACCACGTGACTTGTGTCCCACCTTGGAAAATCATTAGCACAGCACCAGCCTCCAACGCCTAGTCCACACAGTCCAGCCAAGAGCTGGCAGCCTATCTCCTTCCTAATCACCTTCCATTTTAAGCAGCCACCAGCTCTGTCCTTTTTCCTGGCCCTGGGTATAATGCCAAACAGTTGGGCTCATTCTTTGCAGAATCTCTCCATTTGGATTAGTCTGATTTGTTTCCTTGTGATTAGATTCCATTTTAACCCTGGACAGTGTCTTAAAATATACTATTGTAGACAGAATGTCAGCTGTCCAAGTGCTCTCTACCTGAGCTACACCTATTTGAAGGAATTTTAAATAAGATGTAGAAGAAAGTAAGCTAGAAATTGTAGGTCCACTGTAGTAGTCCGTGTTGAGAACTAGGGTGTGTGGTCCTGTCTTTAAAACCAGTTCAGCAAGAAAAAAACAAAAACCAGTTCAGCATCCCTAGCTTTGATGGGGTCCTGCTGCCCCCCATCCTTTATCCTTGATCCCACAAGTGGCACTCCAGTGCCAAGTTGGGACACCTGGTTTGTTTCACAGGTCTTTTTTGTGATCCGCCTCATCGCTGGCCCTGCTGCCAACTCCCTGCCTCCCATCGTGGACCCTGATCCCCTCATCCCCTGTGATCTGATGGACGGGCGCGACGCTTTTCTCACTCTTGCAAGGGACAAGCACCTGGAGTTCTCATCCTTAAGGAGAGCCCAGTGGTCCACCATGTGCATGCTGGTGGAGCTACACACCCAAAGCCAGGACCGCTTTGTCTACACCTGCAACGAGTGCAAGCACCACGTGGAGACGCGCTGGCACTGCACCGTCTGCGAGGTAGGTCCCTCAGGCATGCAAACAGCTAGAGCTGCTGTTGGGGCCCTGGTTCAGGGTCATTGGTGATTTAGTAGGACGGGGTGGAGGGCGCCAGCCTCAACACTGGGGCTGAAGAGACTAGTCATTGGATGATAGAGGGACTTGGCCCCTCTGAAAGGTTTTTGATTGAGTTGGATCTGGGAGGGTTGACCTGCACTCCTGTGCTTTTTGTTCCAGGATTACGACTTGTGCATCACCTGCTATAACACTAAGAACCATGACCACAAAATGGAGAAACTAGGTCTCGGCTTAGATGATGAGAGTAGCAACCAACAGGCTGCAGCCACCCAGAGCCCAGGAGACTCTCGCCGCTTGAGCATCCAGCGCTGCATCCAGTCTCTGGTCCACGCCTGTCAGTGCCGCAACGCCAACTGCTCCCTGCCCTCTTGCCAGAAAATGAAGCGGGTTGTGCAACACACCAAGGGTTGCAAGCGAAAAACCAATGGTGGGTGCCCCATTTGCAAGCAGCTCATTGCCCTCTGCTGCTACCACGCCAAGCACTGCCAGGAGAACAAGTGCCCTGTGCCCTTCTGCCTCAATATCAAGCAAAAGCTCCGGCAGCAGCAGCTGCAGCACCGCCTCCAGCAGGCCCAGATGCTCCGCAGGAGGATGGCCAGCATGCAGCGGACTGGTGTGGTGGGCCAGCAACAGGGTCTGCCCTCCCCGACACCCGCCACCCCAACCACCCCAACTGGCCAGCAGCCAGCCACCCCACAGACCCCCCAACCCCAGCCCACTTCTCAACCCCAGCCCACTCCTCCCAACAGCATGCCTCCCTACCTGCCCAGAACTCAAGCTCCTGGCCCTGTGTCCCAGGGCAAGGCTGCAGGCCAGGTGACCCCACCAACCCCACCTCAGACTGCTCAGCCACCCCTCTCAGGGCCTCCACCTGCAGCAGTGGAGATGGCAATGCAGATTCAGAGGGCAGCCGAGACGCAACGCCAGATGGCCCACGTGCAAATTTTTCAAAGGCCAGTCCAGCACCAGGTGCCCCAGATAACTCAAATGCCCCCAATGGGTATGAATCCACCCCCCATGGCCAGAGGTCCCAGTGGACACTTGGAACAGGGGATGGGGCCCACAGGGATGCAGCAACAGCCACCGTGGGCCCAGGGAGGATTGCCTCAACCCCAGCAGCTCCAGTCTGGGATGCCAAGGCCGGCCATGATGTCAGTGGCTCAGCATGGCCAGCCCTTGAACATGGCTCCCCAACCAGGACTGGGCCAGGTCGGCGTGAGCCCCCTCAAACCAGGCAGCACTGTGTCTCAACAAGCCTTACAAAACCTCTTGCGGACTCTCAGGTCTCCCAGCTCTCCCCTGCAGCAGCAACAGGTGCTTAGTATCCTTCACGCCAATCCCCAGCTGTTGGCTGCATTCATCAAGCAGCGGGCAGCCAAGTATGCCAACTCCAATCCACAGCCCCTCCCTGGGCAGCCAGGCATGCCCCAGGGCCAGCCCGTGCTGCAGCCACCTACCATGCCAGGCCAGCAGGGGGTCCACTCCAACCCAGCCATGCAGAACATGAACCCCATGCAGGCAGGTGTCCAGAGAACTGGCCTGCCCCAGCAGCAGCCGCAGCAGCTTCCACCACCCATGGGAGGCATGAGCCCCCAGGCTCAGCAAATGAACATGAATCACAACACCATGCCTTCACAGTTCCGAGACATCTTGAGACGACAGCAGATGATGCAGCAGCAGCAGCAGGGTGCAGGGCCAGGAATAGGCCCTGGAATGGCCAACCATAACCAGTTCCAGCAACCCCAGGGAGTTGGCTATCCACCGCAGCAACAACAGCAACAGCAACGGATGCAGCATCACATGCAGCAGATGCAGCAAGGGAATATGGGACAGATGGGCCAGCTTCCCCAAGCCTTGGGCGCTGAGGCTGGAGCCAGCCTACAAGCCTATCAGCAGCGACTCCTTCAGCAGCAGATGGGGTCCCCTGCTCAGCCCAACCCTATGAGCCCCCAGCAGCACATGCTCCCAAACCAGGCCCAGTCCCCACACTTACAAGGCCAGCAGATCCCTCCTTCTCTCTCCAATCAAGTGCGCTCCCCGCAACCTGTTCCTTCTCCACGGCCACAGTCCCAGCCCCCCCACTCCAGTCCTTCCCCACGGATGCAACCTCAGCCTTCTCCGCACCACGTATCCCCACAGACCAGCTCCCCGCACCCCGGACTGGTAGCGACCCAGGCCAACCCCATGGAGCAAGGGCATTTTGCCAACCCGGACCAGAATGCAATGCTTTCTCAGCTCGCTAGCAATCCAGGCATGGCAAACCTCCACGGTGCAAGCGCCACGGACCTTGGACTCGGCGCCGAGAGCTCAGACTTGAATCCAAGCCTCTCGCAGAGTACACTAGACATACACTAGAGACACCTTGTAGTATTTTGGGAGCAAAAAAATTATTTTCTCTTAACAAGACTTTTTGTACTGAAAACAATTTTTTTGAATCTTTCTTAGCCTAAAAGACAATTTTCCTTGGAACACATGAGAACTGTGTAGTAACTGTTTGTGGTTTAAAGCAAACATGCAAGATGAACCTGAGGGATGGTAGAATAAAGAATATATTTTTGTTATGGCTGGTTATTGAGCCGGTCCTTTCCCCTGTGTGTGTGGTTCAGATGTGCACTGGGAGGGCACTGAGGTCTGTGACGCCAACTACGTGCTCTCCTCCTTGCACCTCCAATAGGTTTTATTATTTTTTTTAAATTAATGAAAATATGTAATATTAATAGTTATTATTTACTGGTGCAGATGGTTGACATTTTTCCCTATTTTCCTCACTTTATGGAAGAGTTAAAAACAAAAACGAACATTTCTAAAACCAGAGGACAAAAGGGGTTAATGTTACTTTAAAATTACATTCTATATATATATAAATATATATAAATATATATTAAAATACCAATTTTTTTTCTCTGGGTGCAAAGATGTTCATTCTTTTTAAAATGTTAAAAAAAAAATCCTTTCCCTTCCCTTAAGTCAACTTTTGTGCTCCAGAAAATTTTCTATTTCGTAAGTCTTGAGCGTAAAACTTCAAGTATTAAAATAATTTGTACATGTAGAAAGAAAAATGACTTTTTCAAAATATACAGGGGCAGCTGCCAAATTGATGTATTATATATTGTGGTTTCTGTTTCTTGAAAGAATTTTTTTTTTTCTCGTTATTTTTACATCTAACAAAGGAACAAATTAAAAAGAGGGTAAGAAACGATTCCGGTGGGATGATTTTAACATGCAAAGTGTCCCTGGGGTTTCTTTGCTTGCTTTCTTCCTCCTTATCCTGCCCCCTCCCACACACACACTTTCTGTAAAACTTGAAAATAGAAAGCAAAAACCCTCAACTGTTGTAAATCATGCAATTAAAGTTGATTACTTATAAATATGAACTTTGGATCACTGTATAGACTGTTAAATTTGATTTCTTATTACCTATTGTTAAATAAACTGTGTGAGACAGACACCTGAGTCTTGTTTGACTTTCTGCTAGCACAGCGTTGTCTGGGAGTGCCATCAGTGTAAGTGGCCGGTGTGTAAGAGTCGAGAGGATTTGTTAACAGCCTCGTGTAATTCACGTATCATTCATTCCTAAGCATATTTGTCCAAAGTGCAAGGAAAAAGTATTATAAATGAGCTGATTGTTGTGGTTGAATTCGTATTTTGCTTTTAAAGTCTTGATAATGGATGAGCCTTCTTCCAAGGTCCATCCATACAGATGACCTAAATTCTTCACCCGAATTTGTGAAATGATCAAGAGGGATGGAAGTTCCATCACAAGTCAGTGCTTAAAGACCAGGTCTTGATATTAAGGTGGCAAGGCATCTGTTTTCCTCTGCTTTTACTAACCGCCAACTCAGAGTAGCTTTGAGAATCACTTGGGAAAGGAAAATGGCTCAATGAAACCTGGAAAGCTGGTGAAGTCTGTCCAAGGTACTAGGTGTTAGAATGGAATACAGTATTACATTGGTTACAAACAAGTGCTTGAAACTGGAAAACTGGGTTACTATTGTGCTTTGGCACAGACAGGCAGGTCTTCCTTGCTTTTTGTGCTGAAGCTTTATGCCAACCACAGATGACAGTCTATTAAGGGCGACAGACCCAAGGACTATTCTCCCAGCTCCTGTTTGCTCCATCACACCATCTGGCATAAGGATAGCTGTTTGAGGAGTCTTGGGCCTTGCATGCAGCATGAGCCCAAGCCTGCCCTGCTCAGGCACTCCCCCCACCTTGGGCCAGTGACAGCCGGTGGAGCACTTTTATTCTGTGCCAGGTAGATAGCACGGTCTGGAGAAGAAGGGGCATTGAAGCTGTAGTAGACCAAAGAGTGTTTAAGCCAGAGAAGCAAAGGGTGTAGGAAGAGAGCACGGCTGGTGGAGATGGGGGTTTTCTGGAGAGGTAGGAGAAAGCTGCATCTGAGTGTAGAAGGGGTGGGGAAGAACTCTGCCCAGAAGCGTGAAGGAAGAAACATCTACTGGGAAATGGCTTCAAGTCCATTTGGCCTGAAACCAGATTCGTGAAGGTAGTGAGTGAATACCTGTGGTAAAAAAGACCTTACAACTAGGAACCAAAGGGAAAATGTCCTATCCTGTTTCTAAGCACAAACACCACCACCACCACCACCATCTTTGGCTAAGGCCAGAACATTGCAGTGCTGTGTTAGAAGTGGGGGACAAAATCATCAAATGAGAAAGAAAGCTGCTTTCTAAACCAGGGGCGGGGATATTAATCCAGTCCAAAATCTAGGAAGCCACACTAGCTTCGCTGTGTAGCTATTGTGACATTGGAAGGTCAGAAGCTATTGTGACATTGGAAGGTCAGACAAACAAGGCTGAGGTGGGCTGGGTCTAATCCATCAGCTCTAGGTCCTCTGCCCAGTGGGAGCCAGCAGCCTTGCAGGTGCTTCCATTTACTTAGACGGAGGCCTCAAGAACAGTGGTTCTCAACTTGTGGGTCGTGACCCCTTTAGAGGTCGAGTCATAACTAGCAAAATACAGTTATGAAGTAACGAAACTAATGTTAAGGGTGGGGGGGAGTCACCACAACGTGAGGAACTATATTAAAGGAAGGTTGAGAACCACTGCTTAAGAACATCCCCACGTAATAAATGGCAAACAGGCTCAGGGAAAGTAACTTGCTCAGGATCACACAGCCAGTAAAATGGGCTGTTTTGACGCCTAAGCCCAAATTTCCACTCCAAGTCCTCGGCCTCCCTTAATCTCAAGGAAATGATGATGGCTGCACACTACACAAAGGCCCTGTGTGATTTGAAATTCTGGCTAAGAAGAAAAAGCGGGGGG